CGATCCTGAAATTATCTATTTTTCATATCCTATTCTTGTTGCTCAATGATTTGTAAATATTTGTATTTAATATGCTAGTTATGTAAGAATGTTTGTAATCTATTCTAAAATCATGTAAAGGAAGATTGTGTTTTTTTGTCTGTGTTATCTGAGTGTGTGTGTGTGAAACCCATAAATCTACGTGAAGCGTGCAGCGTGCATGAACGGTGTGGATTATGATCAGGTTTAAAATATTGCTTGTGTTTTGACTGAATAGGTCAACATTTTAGAACCAGGGAGGAAATTTCCTCACGCGCACTGTCCCAGGAAACCCAGGCCGAAACCACTCCCTTGGCTTATTGTGGTTTATGATTTGAATAATTTACTGACCCATGGGGAGGAAACTTATGAAAGGACAAAACCCTGAAACCCGGTTTTAGCAAAATTGCAACAGTTTATTAAATGAAAATGTTAACAAAAGTATACTCATGTTACACAAATTGAAGGTTTCGTTCAACAACACTAAATTTCCGGCTCTGTTATCTCTCTCTCTCTCTCTCTCTCTAACTCTGAGTAAATCCGGACCACGGAGATTAGAGAAATCCTGGTTCTAGTATCAGACCGTGTTATCTCTACAAGGCGGGGTTTATGTCGGATAAATGTCTCCGGGTGCTTTTCAGACCATTAAGCGCAATAAAATGCAACCTGGACAAAATACCAACTTTTGGATTGAATAATGCATTTCATAATATAGATTTCAATTATACATGACGAAATGTGATTATTATTTTAAAAGTACTAATATAATAACTTTTTTTGACAATTAATATTGAACAATATTTATTCTAATCTATATTTGTTTTCATTCTAAAACGTAATACATGAGAATATTTTTAACTACTTGCTAGTTTTTGAGCGAAGGAAGGAAAGAATCGTAACTTGACATGTTTTTATCAATCAAATCATTTCAATAAAAACGTCTTTAACAAAAAACATTGAATTTAAGTGATTTGAATAATATGTTGACCCTTTTTCCAATGTTATGACATATTAAAATTTCTAATTTTATAATTATATTTGCAAATGCAAAAATAAGTTTTCGACATTTTGTCCAGGTAGTTTAATCGGTTCAGAAAAGTTTAGAATAGAAGAATTAAATTAAATCGATACCAAATAATAAACATAATAATTCAATTTGATGTAGACTCGCCTAAAAAATGCAATTAATTCGAAAATAAACTAATATAATAAGAAAATAAGCTAAATCAACAAAAAAGGAACATTCCCTTTAAAATGAAAAGGTGACCAGGACCGTACAGTAACTTTCTTTGTGAAGTGACAAGGAGTGGTCGTTGGTCAATCGTATGAATAGAAGTTTGGTGGAAAGGTAGAGGGGGGTTGTACTTTATCTCCCCGGCCCCTGGCGTCTCATTTACAAATGTAAGAATAAAAACTAAATCTTTTTCGAAGTGTTTCTACTTTTTGAATATCCCACCCAGCACAATCTACTGTAGGGTGTTAAGGTGGGTGCAAGGCCCATGGAACACTATCTTCTGTATGGTGTTAGGGTGGATACAGGGCCCATGTAAATTCCCTATATTTAAGATATTTCTATGGTAAGACTAAATTCCCTATGTTTAAGATATTTCTATGGTTAGACTGAATTCCCTATGATTAAAATATTTCTATGGTTAGACTAATAAAAAAGGTTGGTTGTATATTGTGTTTAGCCTCTAGAACTGATATGTCCCCAGCTGCCAAGCTTGAATAAACCTGAGTTTTTGTCCCCGCTTTAACTATGAATAATGAGCTAAACTAATCTTAAACATAAATACTAGGATCTAACCATTCAAACCATTCGGATAGATGCATCGAGACTTCACAGAGACAAGGAACGTTTCTGAAACTCTTAGTTTGATAGAGATCTATGTGCACTTCTTACTATACACTTTTCTTGTCTGTTTGTTTGTTTGTAACCGATAAACGTCAATACACCCAAACTTTTTTTGGAACATCACATGACCTAAAAGAAAAGTTATGAATGCTCAAAATTAAAAAAAGGAATTAAGTCTTTGCCACAATCTCAGGTTTACACCGTCAGGTTTCAAAGATTTAGGGTTCAGAAAATTTTAGTTTGTGGCAAAGACTCAACTCCTTTGCCTCTAAAAATTTTTGATTTTCGTAGAATTTTGAAAATCCACAAAAAAATGCAAATCCGAGGAATTTTTCTTATTATTGTTTTATCGAAAAGAAATTGCTGAAAGATTGATAAACAATTTAACTGTGAAAAAGAGAATCTGTATATATATATATTTGTAACCTCATTGTGTTAACCTTTAATAGGTTTCATGGTTATTTGATCAAACAAAATTTATAGTTTGAAACAAATAGAAATTCTAGTACAATAGATGGCAACCATAGAGTAATAAAACGAAGAGGTGAAGCTTAGCTCAGATGTACACAACCGACCTGTCTATTGATTAATTAATAGACAGGTCGGTTGTGTACATCACGATATGTTTACGTATCTAACGCTGTACACTTGTATATAGAGCGATCGTATTTCTAAAGGGGGATTTTATGGAATTGACCAATTTTTAGATTTTCTATCTTTATTTAAAGAGAATTCGAGGATGTTGACTGCAAACATTTGATAATTTTCAAATTTGTAGGTTTTCAATTTATTAGCTGAAAGTTCTGTCAAAAATATTAAGTTTCTAGGGCATGAATTTAACTTAAAACATTCTTATTTAAAACATTTTTTATTGCTGGGGGGGGGGCATTTGGCTCCCCCTCTAGTTTTTTGACTTTTCATAAATAGAAATTTAAAGGATTTTTTGGTAATTTTTTTATGCCTAAGGTAGGGTGCAGGGCGATAAAAAACCAGAGTATGTAAAAAAATCTTAAATAGCCCCTAACTTTTTTATGACTAAAGCTACAGATCTGAAAACTATAGTTTTTAAAAGCCCTTGAAATATGAGTGTAGAAAGGTGTGTCACACTTTGATATTTGTTTTAAACAAAAAATTATTTTTTACATTTGTTCGACCTAATCTATCTAATTACCAATACTAATATTCAAATATCTACATTATACCACTCCTTAGAAATACGATCGCTCTATACAGCGTTAGATACGTAAACATAACGTGATGTACACAACCGACCTGTCTATTAATTAACTAATAGACAAGTCGATTGTGTACATCTGAGCTAAGCTTCACCTCTTGGTTTTATTACTCTATGATGGCAACGTAGTATTTGTACACTCTCATTGCAGCTGTATTCTTACATCACAAGTGTCAAATCAGTTTTGTGTCCGACAAAATTATTAATAATAGTGATAAATTTAGAGTAAAGAGCTTATCTTTCAGTGAAAAAGGTCCATTTCTTTGTGTTATTTATTTTCTGTTTTTACACTTTTTTATTTAATCTTGAAAAACATGTCAACTAATGTTAGAAAATTTCGTTTTCCTTGTTATATTTGACACTCGTGACGTCTTCTATAATTGATCTATTTCTCTGTTGCCACCTATTGTACTTGATAATCTTTTTGGTTTGAAATATACAAGGTCTACCATCTAGAAATAAAAATCGAAGTTTTCGTAAAATTTCTTTTAATTCTAAAAGTTTTAAGAATTTCTGGAGTAACACTTTTAAATTCTGACCTTTTTTCAAAGTGTCATGTGAGGTTCCACAAAAAAATCGGGTCCGATCAATTCAGCCATTTTAAAAAATTTATTGGATATAAACAAACAAACACCCAGACAAGCCGAATATAAAACATTTGATATTCAATAAAACAATATATACATTATATTATATTACATAAAAACAATTACCCTACTGTATAGATTTTACCAAATGAATTTTGATATCTTTATGACACGTCAAACTAAAGTAAATTGCATCTAAGATATAAATCTTAAGAGCTATAAAGAAAAACAAAAATGAAATAAATTTCTAAAATGTTACTGAATAAAATAATGAATACTATAAAATCAAAGCGAGAGGAGCTACGAGGTCACAAAGTTGTACCGGTGGTGTAGTATAGATTTAACCCTAGCTCCGTCTGTCTAGTTTCCAGTGATTAGGAAGTTATCAACAACTAAGTTCTAAAAACAAGTTAAATGTCACCTTTTTAATCTCAAGATTATTTGTAATTTCTGTATTTCATGCATTTTTTCCTTGTACCCTGTTATATGTGAAGGGGTAGGTAGGCTTCTGCTTTACTCAGTTCAAGCCATAATGGAAATACATTAATTATCCGTCTGTTTCTTAGATACAGATTCCTGCAGTCTGATCTATCCAACCCATAGATAATAAAGATTCCTGCATTCTGATCTATCCAACCCATAGATAATACAGATTTTTGTGTGGTTATAATCTTATTTATCCAACCCATAGATAGATAATACAGATTCCTGTGTAGATATAATCTGATTTATCCAACCCATAGATAATACAGATTCCTGTGTAGATATTATCTGATCTATCCAACCCGTAGATAATACAGATTCCTGTGCAGATATAATCTGATTTATCCAACCCATAGATAATACAGATTCCTGTTTCGATATATTCTGATTTCTCTTACTCATAGATAATACAGATTTCTATGTAGAACTATATTCTGATTTATCCAACCCATAGATAATACAGATTCCTGTGTAGAACTATAGTCTGATTTATCCAACCCATAGATAAAATTGACACGACATAAAAGAATGACATACCCTGTTCTCTCTTAGTAATCGCTGATCTAACCTATCTGTACAATATTATTTCTATCAATAGATATTTCTTCGTTTTCTCAATAATTTCCTGCAATCAGCCTGGTATTTATATATTATATGCTATACACTTTTCGCTTTTTATCCATGAAGAAACATTAACTATCTAGTACCAGGTCGAAAACTGAGTTAAAAACTGATGCATCAATTTAAACAAAATGTCAGGAATCCGAATATAAATTTAGAAATAGTATTATGATTTAAAAAAAATAATGAATTTTTTGTTTAGGGTTAACAGAGTGGGAGACAGGTCATGCCTGTCCCTATCAGCTCATGGCAGGTGTACTCACCCAATATAATCAGGTACTAAAGTTTATACAGTGCACACAGTACAGTTGTACTCACTGCAATATAATCAGGTACTAAAGTTTATACAGTGCACACAGTACAGTTGTACTCCCTGCAATATAATCAGGTACTATAAAGTTTAAACAGTACACACAGTGCCTAGGTGAACTCACCCAATATAATCAGTTACTAAAGTTCATACAATACACACAGTACAGGTGTGCTCACCTTATATAATTAGGTACTGCAGTTCGTATAGTACACAGACAAAGTACAGATGTACTCACCCAATAGAATCAGCTGCAGTCCATACATTACACACATTACAGGTGTAATTACCCGATATAATCAGAAACTAAAGTTCATACAGTGAACACAGTTGGGGTGTACTCACCTAATAAAATCAGGTACTGCAGTTTTTACAGCAACAGCACACACAGTACATACAGTTCACATAGAATATAGGTATATACAGTATGTACATTAAAAATATACAAGTGTACATATAGAACACAGGTATATACAGTATGTACATTAAAAATATACATTACATACACAGTTCATTATTCTACTAGATTTAATTATATATATATTACCCGGACAAGCTGGGTTCCCAAGCTAGTTTTTTCTTATAAGATTTTTACTTTATAGGGATCCTCTATGGCCGTGGCGAGATTTCAACTCCCAGGAAAGTTTAAACAATTTTAGAGAGAACAAAATATACATTTTAATGAAAATTTTAAAAAATAAACCAAGATTGTTGTTGACTTGAGCGTGCACTAGGTCTGGACCTGTTCCCTGCACCCCTATCTCACATATACCACGCCCACTAAAGACTGGGCTCCGCCCCTCCTTCCCAGAGCACGGAGCAGGGGAACGGTCACGCCCCGCCCCAGTCCGAGGAAAAGGGAGACCCCTCTTCTCTCCCCCGATTAGGTAAACGCGTGTTTTTTTGTTTTTAAATTTTGTTATTTTTGAGATAGGTGGTTAATACAAGATTACCTACAAGGTTACCCTCAAAGGATTCAAAAAAATATATGGATTGAAGGCAGACACCAAACTCAGCCTTCAGATCTGCATACTTAGAGTACAAGGTCGACATTAAAGTCTCATCCTTTATGGGTTATATGTCATCATTCTTGTATAATCTTGTCTTTGCTCTGAATAATCTTGATTGTATCATGTTCTTGGCAATTTAAAAGATTTTCTTGACGGCTCCGACAAGCTGCCAAATTCATCAAGTCATGATTCTTAGGACACACTTAACCCTTTTTGCAGCTGTAATTTGAAACCTGGCTCAATCCTTCAGTTACACTCAAGGAAGCAAAGATGAAAAGCACTAAAGAAAAGTTGTTTAAATATTTTTATTCCTTAAAATAAATACCTGTCTGTACTTCTTTCTAGAGAAAGGAATTGAGTCTTTGTCACAAGCTCAAATTTTCTAATCCCTAAATCTTAGCAACTAGATGGTCTTAACCTTTGATATTTCAAACTTTGATTATTTGATCTACCAGAGTTCATAGCCTGAAATATCTAAGGTCCACGACATTGGGCTACAAAGATATGGGGTTTAGAAAATCTGAGTTTGTGCCTCAGGCTCAATTCCTTTCGGACAGGAATAAAAAAATTGCAAGTTTGATTTATTTTTAATTTTATTTTTAGATAATGTCCGAAGACAGTGAGAGCTTTTCTCAAGAAGAGAGGCCAGTATTTAGACCATTTACCAGGTATTCATTCATTCATTTATTCATTCATCCTTTCATTCATCCTCCCTTCAATTCATCCTCTAGCACACAGAGATTCAGACATGGGATTGAAAAGTTGCAAGTATTTCCAAAAATTGTTCGACTTTAAAGTGTCGCAATACATTGTCCTTCAATTTTACCGCACTAATAATAATAATAGCTTATTCTTCTTTTGGAGTCGTCGAAATTTAAATTTTTGAACAATAAAACACTTTCAGTTTTAGTTTAGGAATTAGTTTGCAAAACTCTCATTTCTGCAAGAGAGCCCGAAAACTTGTTTATCCATTCATTATTCATTCTTATGACTAGTATATACATTAAATCATTCATCGGCCAGGCATTCATCAATTCATTCTTTCCATCCGTTCTTGAAAAAGGGCAGAATATTTGTTCTGCATATTACTTCATTGTTTCAATGCTTAAGCCGTCTATTTTGAATAAAAAAACTACATTAACTTTCGTGGTATAATCAATAATATGTTTAAAAAGTTTCACAAATTCTCAAGATTCCAACCTGTCAGACTTTGGAAATCCACAAATTACTGTCCAGAAAATCTTTTATTTCCAATATTTTGCTTTATAATATTTCTTACACGAGAAAGTATGAAAATCTAAAATTTCAAACAGAAACTCAGAAATTTAGAACATTTGAAACTAGCATTTTGAAAAGGGAAATTTCTTCGAGCAAATGAATATTTACAATTCAAACCAAAAAAGTGAATAAACCCAAAATTGAAAATGTGTTAAGGGGACTAAAGACGTAATTTCAAGTAATTTCTAATTAGTAAATTCATTTCTCTATTTTATCTACAGAAACGATTAAGTGAATTGGCAGAATTAAAAAATTTTCAAGCCAGTAAAGCACATATATCTTTTGCATTTGCATGTCCCCCAGTAATTAGATAGTCTCTTTTAGCCAAAAGAATTCTTTAAATAAATTTAATTTAATTTTCAGAGAAAGCTTGGCTGAGGTTGAAGCACGAATATCTGAAGATCGAGCGAAGAAGAAGGAAATAGAGAGGAAGAGAGCTGAAGGAGAGGTAAATACGATATATATATTTATATATATATATATATATATATATATGTGTGTTTGAACTGATAAATCTGGTTTAATCTGGAAATATCTAGAGCTTGAAATGTTTGAAGGGGGAGTTCATGAATAATAAAAGGTGCAGGAGGTGTAGTGCAGTGCAATAATAACCATAACGTAATTTTGCATAGCTGAAACTATTCGAATTTCCGAATAATTTGATCAAATTTAAGAATAGAATATTAGGGATATCAAACAAAGTGTTTGGAAAAATTATATTGAGAGAATTAAAAATATAAATAATCTCTTATATTTAAACACAATGTGCAACGTGCGTAATTTGAGAGTGCTTTCGGACATTCAATATTTTTATCAACAGAGAGAAGAAATATCAGTGTTGGAACTGTATACGGTGGTTGTACAGTCACATGTGATCAATGCGTTTCCGTTGAGTTTGCTGAAATAATCGAATACTCACACAAAATTTCATGAACACTCCCTTTAAAAATATAAACCAAACAACCTCTAAATATTTCAACTGGAAAATGTGTGTGTTTTGTTTTGTCCCTAGATGTTGGTTTCCTATGATTTATGTACAAAAGTCAATTGCAAGTTTTGGAATTCGCTTGATTAGAATTGATAAACTGCATATTTAATGTATACTGAATTATAATGTTTGCTTTCTAAAATTGCATCAAAGAAGGATAACGCCATTTTCGAAATGGAAACAAATTTGTTAATGAAGTTAGTATTATAGATTTTTCTTTGAACGTTATCTTTGCTTTTAAAACTAATTCAGTTCATTGTCTTGTATTTGATACTGATTTAAAACAATTTGTTTTGCCTTTTTTGATATATAATTTACCGCAAAATTGGATTATCACAAGGTATCTTCACAATTTTGTCAATTTACCACAAGAATCGCTGACCACTGCACTAGATCGTTTAACACAGGGTTGATTAACAAAAGAATTTGGTTTACAACAAGGATGGTTTACCATAAGAAAGTTTTGATAAAAGAATCGTTTACCGATAGGATTACTACAAGAAAAAATTACACACGAACTGCACAAGAGTGGTTAACCACAAGATTGGTTAACCACAAGAAAGGTTAACCACAATAATGGTTTACCACAAGAATGGTTTACCAGAAGAAAGGTTAACCACAATAATGGTTTACCACAAGAAAGGTTAACCACAATAATGGTTTACCACAAGAATGGTTTACCAGAAGAAAGGTTAACCACAATAATGGTTTACCACAAGAAAGGTTAACCACAATAATGGTTTGCCACAAGAATGGTTGACCAAAATGATTATCACAATAACGGTTTACAACAAGTTTGGTTTACTATAAGAAGGGTTTTCTACAAGAATAGTTTACCACAAGGTTGGTTTACAACAAGGGTGGTTTACCACAAGGTTGATTTACCACAAGGTTGGTTTACAACAAGGTTGGTTTACCACAATGTTGGTTTACAACAAGAACGTTATTTTACCACAAGAATAATTTACCATAAGAAAGGTTTACCACAAGAATCGTTTACCGATAGGTTTACCGCAAGAACAGTTTACCACAATGTTGTTTTACTACAAGAACGTTTAATTACAACAAGAATGATTTACAAATAGGTTTACCACAAAAACGTTTTTAACAACAAGAATTATTTACAACAATGGATGGGTCAATTTTTTTAAAAAATGTAGGTTTATCCTGTAAAGTTTATTGAATTCTAAAATCTAATGAATTGTTAAAGTTTGAAGGACTAGGGTTTAAAGGGGAACTTTACAGTTTAGAAAATACCGTATATTACATCAGGAAAAGGTATGAATTGGATAAAACCAAATTAGAATTAAGAAATCTAAACTTTTTTACACTTAAGCATCAGCAACTACAAATATTCTGTATAAAGTTATATTTGATATCAACTTTGAAATCTTATTTACAATATTTACAAGTTTGGAAAATGAAGTTTGCTTGAATTCGTTCATATATTCCTTCAAACAAAACACTTGATTTGAGGTTGTCTATTTATCCAAAGCATATTTTTGAAACGCCTTCTTTAAAATAAAGTTAATCCATACCATATTTAGAAATGATACATTTCATATAAACATATCTAATCTAAATATAAATTACCCTACGTGTAAAAAGATAAAAGCAAATTTCTGAAAAAAGCAGATTTTTTACTTTAACAATTTTTTCAGAAGTATCTTAGTCTTTATGAAAAATATTTTAGGCGAAGGCAACTTTTCCCAAACATATTTGGAAGAGAAGAGGTCAAAAAGATGTAAGAAACAGTATATAACTTTATCTAAATATATATATATATATATTTATATACTAATCTATATTTAACGGGCTTATTTACTTAACTCTGTAATAGCTATTGCATGCATGTAGTAAGATGTTTTATCAATTTTATGTTTTTACTTATTTAAAGATTTTATCAACCTAAAATAAAAAAACACGCTGTTAAAGGGACTGATAACGTAATTTTATGTGACCCAAACTTTAGAGAGTTGTATACCTGATTTGCAAAAATAGTTGGTATCTATCTGAACAACAATAAGGAGGATATCTTTGTTTTTCTATCTTATAAAGTGATAAATTCTTTCAATTTCTGGTTGAGTAACGTTTAATTAAGCATGTAACTAATTGGTCGAAATTACATTAACAGTCCTTTTTAGGTAATTTCAGGGTGCAGTTAATATTGCACAATGTTGTGCTTCCACTTATGTTTAAAATCAATTTATTGCCATAATTTTCAATAAGATATGAAAATGTATTAACATAACGATTATCAATGTTGGAAAAATATGTAGTCTTTAAATAAGGAATAAAGAATAGATGCCACCGATAACTCGAGTTATTGGTAATATTTTGGAAAAAAAATTATAAAACAAGATCTCATCGCGAAAATAGTTTTAAATTATTCTTTTTTATTTTAGAATGGTTTGCGTAATTTAACAAAATTTTAAAAATATTCTTTTTCGTATCTAATGGTTGGGCGTTTTTTATTTTTAAACAAATAGGATTTTCTGGCTTTCACGGCGCCAAAAAAAAAAATATAGAAAGTTTACAAAAATTATATTCTCTAAAAGTTTACTTATGCAAAATGTTTACTCTGACAGAAGAGATACGCTGCATTAAAACACGATAATAGTTCGCTGACGAATTACTGTTTTTGTTTCGTTTAGGCTGAAATCTTCTATAAGAGTAAAAATAGAGCATAGTTTTTTTAAAAATATTATTTATGGTTCAACGTACAACTCTTTTTTTGTTGGCAAGCACTCCCTTTAAGATTTGTAGATTACCATATGAATATATAATCTAATAAGAGCTGAATAATGCAATTCCTTTGGTTAAGATTTAATCAAAGTTTCGCAATAACTAAATCTATTTAGAAATATTTAAGTATTTGCTAATTTGTTAAAATTGAAGTAAAATTAACTCGTTTTCAGTTTTTTTTTATTGTCAAAGATAAAAAATACTGAACTGTTGGATCTGTAAAATGTATTTAACCATCTGACTAAAATGTAGAATTCGTGAATTAAATCTCTCTTCCTCTCAATCAATTGTATAATCGCATGACATTTTCTTTAATTTTCTAAAGTTCACTGTTATCCAGAAACTTAAGGTAGGATATATATATTCTGCAAGTAGATTTGTACTTTAAACCAAGAAAAATATACAATGGAGCCTCATATCTCTGGTTACAAAATAGGAGGAATGTAAACAAACTCCGTGCTCCTCAGTTTTGTTTATGTTTCTCCCAGAAACTTTATTACAAATATTTTTTAAACAAAAATGGGGAGTTCATGATGTATCTTTCTTGCTTACATTTATATTTCAGTATTTAGGTATCTTTGGACGCACAGTACAGTACAGTACAGTACAGTACAGTACAGTACAGTACAGTACAGTACAGTACAGTACAGTACAGTACAGTACAGTACAGTACAGTATTTAGTTTCTAGTTTTATTAATAAGTTTGAAGGTGAAGTAATCTGTATTACAGTATGGTGCCAGAAGCCACAATGCAACTTTTGAAAAATGAACAAATCTTAGAAAATCATTTTTTTACAATTCCTGATAGCAGACGATACTTTAAAATAGAGAATTCTGTTCTCATCTTTATATTCAATCCTATCCTGAATCATTACAGGGTTTACTTTTATTTAAGCAATAAGATTATTTCTAGTGATTAGATATATTTTTAGCCTTTAACAAGTGTGGGGCATCGCTATTTGGAATATTTGTATGTTTTTAAGGTTTTTAGAGGCCCCACAATTATCTGGGGTGTGTAAACTGATGGTATTTAATCCCTGTTTTGCGTATATAATGAGGTCCCTCATGCCTTGACACGGTGTGATGGTATTTAATCCCTGTTTTGCGTATATAATGAGGTCCCTCATGCCTTGACAAGGTGTGATGATATTTAATCCCTGTTTTGCGTATATAATGAGGTCCCTCATGCCTTGACACGGTGTGATGATATTTAATCCCTGTTTTGCGTATATAATGAGGTCCCTCATGCCTTGACCCGGTGTGATGATATTTAATCCCTGTTTTGCGTATATATTGAGGTCCCTCATGCCTTGACCCGGTATGATGATATTTAATCCCTGTGTTGCGTATATAATGAGGTCCCTCATGCCTAGGCTCGGTATGATGATGAGGATGATGATGATGGACCAGCAGCAGATCCTCAACTTGAGGCAGGGATGCCTCTACCTATCAGGTTATAAACATTTTCTTTGGAATTTACGAAATCTTGAACATTTTTAAAGAATTTAGGAACAACATATCAAGGATTTTTCACCAAATTTTTTAGCTAAACCGAACCCAGTGCTTTTGCTACAGATGCATAAAAACTAGAATTTTTTTTTTTTTAATAATTTTGGTCGTTCTAGATTTTGTTGTTTGTACTCATACATGTTACACCTCGTCACATTAAACCATATTTTCCAAGCAAATATGATGGAAATATCCTTTTTTTTCTATCAGAAATAGATCATTTTCGATTGAGATTTCATTCTTGAATTGACTTATGGATTTATGCAGCTAGCTAACTCAGAAAGGGAAGGGAATTGCCTGAATTTATCAAGAAAAAAACTCTGATAAAAACTTGAATCGTGAATAAACCCTTTAAAAAAAGAAATAAAAAATTTTCGGAAATCAAATTAAATAATTTGTTTTCAGGTGAAAGTATATTGGAATTGAGTCTTCTTCTAATCTCTATATCTTTGCAACCTAATATTTCAAACTTATTTTATTTGATCTAACAGAATTCATAATATAAAACGTCAAAGGTCTACGACATTGGGTTGCAAGGTATATTCATTTTCTTTAGATAGTATAAACTAGAAATCAATATTTATTTCGTATAAAATATATTATATATTATATCTCTTGTTTATTTTATTGATATAAGCCTAGAAAAGGAATAAGATTGATGAGACGATATTGCATAATGCATACGTAGTGTCATCTTATTATTGATCAAATTCAATTATCTTTAGGATATTCTGCAACCCAGGTTATTTATATTTATATATATATATATATAAAACATCCGTTTAACCATGTTTAATAACTAAAGGGGGAGTCAATCATTTCATAGACGACCTATAATTATTTTCCAATTTTCAACAATTTTTCCAAGATTTTTCCAAGACTAAAATAATGGTTATTTTGTCAGCTAAGCGTTTTAAGATTTGATTCTCTTTGAAATTTTAACAAGGTGTATTTATACATATGTCATGCTTATAAGGTTCGTGTTTAGATAAAGATTAGATTTGTATATTTTAACATGTCAATCATACTCCGGGACCCATTGAACAATGGACAATTCTAATCTACTCTGTTCATCTCTCATTCCTGTCTCCAGCACATCATGATCCTATCTCACGAGAATCTACTAGAATTCCATCAGTATTGAGAATTTATTTTATTTCTATTCATGGTTTTACCCTGTAGTTTGTTTCATTGTTCGAATTTTCAAACGGACAAACTTGCCACAAACTCTGATGTTCTAACCCCCCATATCTTTGCAACCCAATTATGTTCTAACCCCCTATATCTTCGCATCCCAACCCAATGCCACTTTTAATAGTTAGAACTATGAATTCTCTTAGATCAAATAATCTGAGTTGAAATTTGGAACCCTTTAAAACCTTTAAAACCTTTAAACCCTCTGTCTAGGCAAAAATTATTAAGTCATCGTTAATTTGTTGTCTGAAAATTGTCAATTATCAATGCAGTTTAGTTCGTTGTAAAAAAGGATTTGCGGATTAATGCAGTTCTAGAGACAATGAAGTAAAATGGAAAAACAGAAAAACTATGATATATCTCTCTTTGTTAATCAATAAACGTAAAGGTACTGGTAAATTAAAATTAAACTTGGGGTCGTTTGTAAAAAATCTCTTAAAATTTTTTTCCCAACAGTCTCGTTGTGTTACTTTAAAGTCTCATAATGTTTTCAACAAATCTTTCTAGTTTATTTAGTATATATTCATATTCTGGTGCAGCATTGCAAGGATTATTGATGAGTCAAAAACTCCGTTTTTAAATCGAAATCTCAGAAGAAGAAAGAGTTTTTTACTGTTCAGATATTCTCAAATATCAGCGCTGAAATGTTAATACGAAAATTTAATATCGTAATTTGTTATGATTAATTTTATTAGTTGTAAAGTATTAAAATTTCAAAATATATATTTAACAATAATTATTTAGAAACTTATATAATTTAGATAAATGATGGAAAGTAAAAAAAATTTACATTTTTCAATTTTTTTTTTAGGTTGGCAGCTGAATTTCCGGCAGAGCTCACAGCTATACCACTTGATGATATCGACCCATATTACCAGAATAAAAAGGTTTATTATTAATAAACATTATATTTTTATCATCTACGATCTCCATACTGCAGGCCTGGGTGATTAAAATGCATTACTATAAACCAGAGATAAAATAACAATTTGACGTCACAAAAGTTTCCTGGTTAAGATATTAAAGTTTCCTTTTTTAGCTAAAAGTCGATGATTTCAATCAGTGGTTTTTAAAAAATAATAGCTTCCGTACTAATGCAGCAGAGACAAAAAAGAAATTACCAAATTCAACAGTTTATAGAGATAGAAATCAGCTAAATCATACCAATTGGTGCACAAAGGAATTGAGTCTTTGCCTCAGATTTTGTCTCAAATTTTGCCTCAGATTGAGTCTTTGCCTCAAATTTTCTAATCCCCATATCCTAGCAGCCCAATGTTGTTTACCATAGATATTTTAAACTTTGAATTTTGTTAGATAAAATAATCTAAGTTTAAAATGACACCACATCAGGTTACAAAGATATAAGCTTTAAAAGGTTTGATTGTGTGGCAAAGACTCATGTTCCTTTTAATGTATTCATGACCCTTCTCCTCCTCTTCTTCGTCCCTTTTCTTCCAACACGAAACTTGGTGTTAAATACATCATAATCATGAATCATGAAATTAAGAAAATGTAAACAATATACTAGGAAGAACTATACTGTATGTATAGAATACATACGAAATCGTTTACGATGTACCAAGAATACTCGTTTAAAGGATGCCTTTGCGAAAAATGAAAGGGGGTAAAAGCTGACTCCGAATTTCCTAATCATAAACGCTAAAGATCATTTCGATACAGATTCAATTCGAATTCAGCCAATCCCTTTCATTTCTCGCGAACACTCCCTTGAAAATCCTCAGTTTTAATCTCATCTCATACTTTCTGGATCCCCTTGTATGTAATAATGTAATGACTGAACCAGAAAGAAGATTTTCTGATTTCTATGAAATATTGAGACACTTCCTGGTCTTCCAAATACTGGTTACAGACCTCTGCCAAATTGGTGTATTTATTTTTACGCCATTTCACATCTCTTCCCCATAGGGAACATACTGTAATAATGTACTCTACTGCATATATAATTTGTGAACATTTACATGATTTGTACACTTTGAACTCCCTTTCAGGCTGAAAGGGACTGAAAAAATTCATACTGAGAGATTCTTTAAATTCCCCTCTAATATATATTCTATTCTCTATGGCTTCAACCTATCTTTATAACCATGTTATTTTTATTTATAAATACTCCCCCTCCCTTTCTGTGTGTATAAAGTGGATGCAATAAATACTCCCGTTCCCTTTCTGTTTGAATAAAGAGTATGCAATAAATACTCCCCCTCCCTTTCTGTTTGAATAAAGAGTATGCAATAAATACTCCCCCTCCCTTTCTGTGTGTTTAAAGTGGATGTAATAAATACTCCCCCTCCCTTACCGTGTGTATAAAGTGGATGTAATACATACTCCCCCTCCCCATCAGTGTAAATAAAGTGGATGCAATAAATGCTCCCCCTCCCTTTCTGTGTGTTTAAAGTGGATGCAATAAGTACTCCCCCTCCCTTTCTGTGTGTATAAAGTGTATTTATAAAGTGGATGCTGCAATAAAGTGTTTTTTAGACTTTCATCGTGGTCAGCAAAGGGAAGGATATCTTCAGATATTCGGCAGAAGATTCCATGTGGTTCCTTTCTCCTTTCTCTCCAGTTAGAAGGTATTTTCATTTCTTCTTTCTCTCCAGTTAGAAGATATTTTTCTTTCTCCTTTCTCTCCAGTTAGAAGGTATTTTCCTTTCCTCTTTCTCTCTAGTTAGGAGATATTTTCCTTTCTCCTTTCTCTCCAGTTAGCAGGTATTTTCCTTTCGTTTTTCTCTCCAGTTATAAGGTAGGTTCCTTTCTTCCTTCTCTCCAGTTAGAAGGTAGGTTCAGTTCCTTTTCTCAGCAGTTAGAAGGTAGATTCTTTTCTCATTTCTCTCCAGTTAGAAGGTAGGTTCTTTGCTTATTTTTCTCCAGTTTATAGAAAAGTTTCTTTCTCATCTCGAGTTAGAAGGTAGGTTCCTTTCTTCTTTCTCTCCAGTTAGTATTTCTCCAGTTAGAAGGTAGGTTCTTTTCTCCTTTCTCTTCAATTTGAAGGTAGGTTCCTTTTCCCTTTCTCTCCAGTTAGAAGGTAAGTTCCTTTTACTTTTATCTTCAGTTATAAGATTCATTTCTCCTTTATCTTCGGTTAGAAGCTATGTTCCTTTCTCCTTTCTCTCCAGTTAGTATTTCTCCAGTTAGAAGGTAGGTTACTTTCTCATTTCACTCCAGTTAGAAGGAAGGTTCCTTTCTCCTTTCTCTCAAGTTAGAATGTAGGTTTCTTTCACCTTTCTCTCCAATTAAAAGGTAGGTTCCATTCTCCTTTCTTTCCAGTTAGAAGGTATATTCTTTTCTTATTTCTCTCCAGTTAGAAGGTAGGTTCCTTTCACCTTTCTCTTCATGTATAATGTAGGTTCCTTTCTCCTATCTCTCCTGTTAGAGGGTAGGTTCCTTTTCCTTTTTCCACAGATAGAATAAAGGTTCATTTTCCTTTTTTTCCAGATAGAAGGTAGGTTCCTTTCTCCTTACTTTCCAGTTGGAAGGTAGGTTCCTTTCTCATTACTTTCCAGTTAGAAGGTATTTTCCTTTCTCTTTACTTTCCAATTAGAATGTAGGTTCCTTTCTCCTTACTTTCCAGTTAGAAGGTATTTTCCTTTCTCCTTACTTTCAAGTTAGAAGGTATTTTCCTTTCTCATTACTTTCCAGTTAGAATGTAGGTTCCTCTCTACTTCTTTTCATTGAGAAGTTTTTAACAATTTATTTTATCCAGTAAAAAATGGTTTTCTTTTTCATCCCTTCAATCAGTGTGAAAGCTAAGATATTTATGTATTTTCTGCCTGTAAATATTTTTACCATTCCTTTAATCTTGTTTCAGGGTTGCAATCCATATCATGGTTCATCCTCTCTTCTCCCTCATCATCATTGTAACCATCCTCGTCAATTGTATCATGATGATAATGACACCAAGTGAAAGGATAGAGTCCACAGAGTAAGTACCTTTTTAAAGGAACTGAGTTTTTGCCACAAACTAAAGATTTATAATTCCTATATCTTTACAACCTAATGGTTCAAACCTTTGATATTTCAAACTTAGATTATTTGATCTAACATAAATCATAGTTTGAAATATTAAAGGTCTACAATAATGTATTTAAAAGATATAGGGTTTAGAAAATCAGAGTTTGGGCAAAAAATCAATTCCTTTCTTTTAGTATTTTTTTCGTTAAAGGAAAATTTTGATTAAAACTAAAATAAAGAACACTGAATTAAAATTCCCGTTACAACATAAGAATGAAGAATAAAAGATCAAGTTTTTTGCACTTTGGCTAGCGGACTTTGTTCCTAATTCAAATCTCTAATATCCCAAGGTTATGGCATTTAAAATTAGGTCACCATTGATGGTCTAACAAAAAATCAATTTTCAAATTTCAATCTCTTAAAACGTTGGTAAAATATAGCTTTAAGGTATAGAATGTTCTGATCTTCTTTAACTTTTGAATATTAAAATTCTGACAATTCTAATTTTGTTTTCATATCATTATTATCTTAATGCAACAAATGATGGGGGGGGGGTAGAAGGATAAAGAGAACGACCAAGGGAACACGGAGAAGGCCAAAGAAATAAGCAGATAAAGTAGAATTGGTATGAGGAAAGGGTGGATGGAGGTAGAAGTATGAAGAAGGAAAGGAAGAAGGTAGAATGAATGGAACGGGGAAGGGGGAAGGGGAAAGAGTCAAGGGATTGAGTTAGAAGGATGGAGAAAGAAAGGGAGAAGGTAAAATGGACAGAAGGAGACCAGGGAGGGGGGGGAGTAGGTTTACGAAGGGAGAAAGAAAGGGAGAAGGTATATAAAGAAAGAGCGGGGGGAAAACTTTACATAATTTAACTATAAAAGTTTGAAGGAGAAAACTGAATATCTCACTGTTTTTACTCTCTCGTCCAAACTGTTTAAACTTTCTGTAGCAAGATGTGCATTTAATTTTACAGTGTTGAGACTTTTTTATTGCAGCTTATGGAAGTTTTACCTTTTTCAAGGGTAAAATTAAATTTCAAAGGAACTGAGTTCTGGACACAAACTCAAATTTTCACGTCCCTATATCTTTTAAACCTAATGGTGTACTTCTTTGATATGAACTACCAAAACACAAAAATCCCTCATCTAAATCTAAAGTAGGTAAAATGATTTTATACATTGTTTTTTAGGGTCATTTTCACAGCGATCTACACGTTTGAATCTGCGACGAAGGTTATGGGTCGAGGGTTCTGTATGGTAAAGTTCACATATCTCCGAGATGCTTGGAACTGGCTGGACTTTATTGTTATCAGTTTAGCGTAAGTATTTTAGAACATTTTGGGTGAAAATATTTAATTGTTTTTCCGTTAAAAAATTAGATCTTTTACAAAATTCTTCAATAAGAAACCTTTAAAAAACGTACATTAACATTGTTGGGGAAGAAATATATACGATTGTATACGATTATTATAATAGAAATTATTAGCAGAGAAGAGAAAATCCTCCATAATCTGGAAAACAAAATTAATCTGATGACTTCAAATAAAAAAAAGTTATTTAGATATTTGACAATGGGAATAGATCTTGGAAACCTGGCAGCTCTCAGAACATTTAGGGTTCTCAGAGCTCTAAAAACAGTTGCCATCATTCCAGGTAAGCATAGATTCTCAACAAAGGTTTTTTTTGAGAAGCGGAAAATGCCCGAAAAATAAATAAAGAAACAGATGTTTGAAGATAAACTTTGTGTTTGGATATTTTATAGACAAATGAAACATAAGTTGAAGATAAACAGTTGAACTGCTTGGGGAAAAAATGTTGTAAAGAGGTAAACCCCTCGAACAAAGATTTGAAAGATAGGAAATCAAAAGAAGTTGATGTTAACATTATTGTGAAATAATCTCACAGCGTACATGTGTCCTTTCTCACAAAACCGAGTTATTAAAGGGGCAGTCTGTGTAACTTTTAATGATCTCCCAATTAAAGGGGGAATACCCAATTCACTACGGTACCCTTAAAAACTCCTATCTGATTAATAATGTGAAAGTTGTTAAATTCCGACAGTTTCCTCCATCGTTTCGGAAGCAGAAATAAGCAAGTCACTTTATGGAGAAACCACGATTGAAAACAATCATTTTTCAAAGAGAAGATCTGGATAGCTCATGCATTTTTGATCAGATGAAACCTTTAAACGGTATCAGACGCGCCAGTATATAACTTGAAATTGCCTAAAGTATAAATGTTGAAATATTGGAATGGATAGAATTGCAACGTCTCTTGTCCTATCTGTGTGTTCTCCTTAAACTTTTATATATTTAAGATATTTCTCAAGGGTTCTACTTCTTGCTTTTATATTGGTGAATCGGTTTATCTACAATCTAGTTTATTCCACACTAAAACTGCGAGTTCGGATAAAGGGGGACCACAAAAGATGAGACGAGTTCGGATAAAGGGGGACCCACAAAAGATGAGACGACTGTAAGGAATTAGAATTGCCTGTTTCCATATATTTGGTTAGATTTCTCTGCAACTGTAAATATATGTTTCTTTCGTTGCTAAATCATAAAACATACTATTCGACCATGAGAGAATACTTAATTTAACATTAGAAACGTCATATTTAAAAGGATAATATCGCAACATCTAGTCACCCTGATCAGGTTTTAGGCTCAGATTATATTGACAGGACAAGAGTTATATTTGTATTTGATTAGAATTTTTGTGCATTTTGTCCTCATGCATAGATATTTGACTTAGTCCTGTTAACAAAATGTCTAAATCTTCTGTAAAATAGTCAAACAAGTTTAGTATAGTTACCTAAAGTGTGTTCGTATTTGTCAAATATAAATGTTTCTGTGTTGAGTGCTGGGATGATGAGAATTGAATTGAGAGAAGACCATAATCCCCAATTTTCCCCCGGTTTCACACATTAAACATTAAACAAACAATATTAAATTATTCTTCTGTACTCTCAACACTCTAAATTATAAACACAACAGAGTGCTTAACTTTTGTGTCTTCAATTTAGTCCTTAGCCACAGAATACCTCAAACCCGATGTCGTAGACCTTAAATATTTAAAATCATAAATTCTGTTAGATGATATATAATCTGAAAGGTCTACACTATCAGGTTGCAAAGATATAGGGATTAGACAGATTAATTTTGTGACTCAATTTCTTTATAGATATCCATTCAACATTGTTTCATTTTATTTCCTTACATTTCATTTCATTTTTAATTATGAATAAATTAGTTAGTCTCGTTCACTGAACACTAACTAAATTATCTTATTCAAGGACTGAAAACGATTGTCGGAGCTGTGATAGAATCCGTGAAGAACTTACGAGATGTGATCATTCTAACCCTCTTCGCTCTTTCCGTATTTGCTCTGTTAGGCTTACAGGTATTTCCCCCCAGCTTTTTTTTTGGTTTGATTGTCTTTTATTAGATTTAAATCAAAGTTTTTTTTACAATAAGAATCACTTGAAGTTGTGCGTACGATCCCTTTAATCTTTATCATTTAAGGGTTCTCTTTGTTTTCTTGTTTGTCTGGGGGATAGCGTGTAAACAACGTGATAAATCAAAATTTTATTAGAATTTTCTGATCATCAATCTTTTTACGCAATTCTAATTTTCTCTTTTTTTTCATCAGGGTTTTGAATTTTTAAATTCTTTTTTCCAAATTTTTGTAGTAATTTATTTTTTATTCTGGAAGTATTTGATTTTCTCTTTCTAACTCACTTTTACTTACAAATGAATCCTTCCTTCCCCAATCTGTCCCCCCTTTGACAAATCTCTATTTCAGGTTTAGTTGAATTTGAAATTAATCTCCTGGTCAAAGTTTGCAACTTTGTATATCGATTATTGTGTTCCAGGTTTATATGGGATTTCTCTCTCATAAATGCATCCGAACCTTCCCTGAAGATGGCTCTGGACCCGAGCTGACCCATGATAACTGGTTTGCATTCACGAACAACCGGTCAAACTGGTTTAAAGCTGAGGACGCTAAGAACTATCTTCTGTGTGGTAATATGAGCGGTGCTGGTGCCTGCCCGGACAATTATACTTGCCTTGAAGGGTTCGGTGAGAACCCTGACAATGATTTTACAAGCTTTGATACCTTTGGATGGGCTTTCCTTTGTGCCTTTAGACTAATGACCCAGGTAGGCAAACTAGATCAAAGTACGATTGAAAACTACTGTATTATTAAATTAAACGTAGTTACTAAAATGCTAAAAAAATTTCTTCTTTGATTTATTTCTATTCCTTTCTCCTTTTCTTTAATTTAATTGAAATTTAAGAGAAGATTTAAGTTTTTATTCAATTTTGAATGATTTATAATATTTTCACCAGTTTACACTGCAGCATTCACATTGGGAGGTTTCATATTATCAACATAATTCATAAGAAATCAGATAAAACAAGTAATCATGTTAAGTGTGCTCTAGAGTAATCACTATCTGCATTTAATCTGTATTATATTATCTGTGTAGGATTACTGCGAGGATCTGTTTCAGATGGTTCTATCTGCATTTAATCTGTATTATATTATCTGTGTAGGATTACTGCGAGGATCTATATCAGATGGTACTATCTGCATGTAATCTATATTATATTATCTGTGTAGGATTACAGGGAGGATCTATATCAGATGGTTTTATCTGCATGTAATCTGTATTATATTTCCTGTGTAGGATTACTGGGAGGATCTGTATCAGATGGTTATATCTGCATGTAATCTGTATTTTATTATCTGTGTTGGATAACTGGGAGGATCTGTATCAGATGGTACTATCTGCATGTAATCTGTCTTTTATTATCTGTGTAGGATTACTGGGAGGATCTATATCAGATGGTACTATCTGCATGTAATCTGTATTATATTATCTGTGTAGGATTACTGGGAGGATCTGTATCAGATGGTTCTACGAACTGCTGGACCCTGGCATATAATCTTTTTCCTTGTAATTATTTTCCTTGGTTCCTTCTACCTTGTCAACCTTATCCTAGCTATAGTAGCGATGAGCTACGATGAGCTGCAGAAGAAAGCTGAGGAGGAAGAGGAAGCAGCTCTTCTTGAAGAGGAAGCTCTAAGGGTAGGATATCAGACATCAGACATTGTATTAACACAAAAAACAGACACATTAAATACATATACATTATACATTACATTTTATATTAGATTATGAGTATACATATTTGACAAAGACACCAGAAATTACACAAAAATAATACAAGACAATTAAAAATTCAATTCATATGATACATCAGGATGACAGAGTTCTTACATTTGACACTAAACTCAGAATATCACACAAAATATTTTCTTTAAGAACTTTTTTTAATGCACTAATTATCCTTGTTTGAAAAATGTCAGAAAATCACACTAAAGTAGAGTTGAGAAGTTAAGAATAAGATTTAAATAATATTCATGACCTATTTTGAAATGAACTTTGATGCAAGGAGAATCCATAACATGGGTAGGTATAAAGTTTTGTTTTGGAAAAAAATACTTTCAGGTATTTTTTAGTGCTCTTTTGGAATAAGTCTGTATAACTGGGTTTTGTCCAAATTGAATTATTTGTGAAACATTGGAGACCAAGTGGATGTTTGTTATTAATATATGTAATTGGTTAATTATCTATCTTCTGGACCATGGGCTAGTTTGTAAACTGTTTCTTCCCAGTTGTATATAAAAATGTTTGATTGTTACATTATAGTTTTTTATCCTACCATATCTTAAACATTTTGAGTCAAACATATAATCTTATGAAGTTTTAAGCCAATCACAAACAAGCGTTGGTAGTAATAGATGATAATTAACCAATTACAGTCATAGTTATACTTCGATAAAAACCGGTACAACATATTACTAACATTCAAAGTTGTTTTTATTATTCTGAAATCATTCTGACCTGAGCGAATTTATTTACAGAGGGAGCAGGAGGAAAGGGTGAGTTTTGCAACTAACTGCATTTTTTCCCCCAATCTCGGGATTATTTGAATCTTTTAACCATTGATCCAGACTAGGACAATATTATAGATTTCACAATCCTTAACTTTCTTGCATTTATGATTTTTGACTCTTAACCTGATTGAGTTTAAACTGTATAGAGAAGATATTTAGTCTGCACCTTGAAGAGCTACTAGAGAACAGGGTTCGGAACACAGTTTCTTTAATGGAAAATCGAATTGTCAGAAAAAATTGTTTTAACTTTGTTTTCCGAGCCCAGTTTTAGCTCTGTAATTTTTCCTCAATTTTTCGGATCCAAACCTGATTAGATCTTTAAAACTATAAAATATTCTCCTGAGATTTTGATCCAAGATGCACTGTTAAAAAGTTGATATCTGGAGATTTACATCTAATGTTAATCTTCTTAGACCTAAATTCACTTTTAAAACTGTTAAATTATCTGATATTTTAATAAACTGCACACAACTCTAAATTCAGTGAGAATCAGAAAACAATAAGAATATCATAAAACTTTATAAAACTTTTATCAAAATACATTGATTGGAGTAGAGATTGTTTTCTTTTTAATGTCCTACATTTTTTATTTCATGCTTTATCATTGCAGCCAATAAAAGAGTGTCTTAAATAATTTCTGATTCCCACTGTAACCCAGGTCATCTTCTAGTAAACTCGTAGATTTAGTTTAGAGCTATCAGCAATAAAACATTTTTCAGTCTAGGCCGGTATCTGGTGACTCTGCAGCAGAGGAGATATAATAGTGTCATTTTCTTTTTACCTCTACTCTTGCATGTACCTGGAGAAACTGCATCTAGTCAAAGCTAGTTAACCTCTTAAACCTTCTCCTTCCTTGGGAGTTGGTTGATCTGGTTGTAAACCCCCCAAGATAATGAATTAAAATAGATTTTGCATTGATTTTATTCTAGTCTTCTGCCTTGTGAAAACTTGATTAATTCTGCATTCTTCAATAAATAAATAGAAAATTATCAAAATCCAGTTTAAAATAATGTGGAGAAAGAAACTCAACACTGGCTACAAACTAAAATTTTTATTCTTATCCTTATCTTGGCAACCAGATGTCGCAAATCTTTGATATTTCAAATTTTTATTATTTGATTTAACATAATTAATGATTTGAAATATCTGAGGTCTGCCACATTAAGTTGGAAAGATTTAGGGATTATAAATGAAGAACTAGTTTCGCCTGTTCAGTCTCTTTATTTATTTAATATGTATGATATGCACAAATAATTTATACATTCCATCTCTTATCTTTGCTATTTTTTCCTTATTCTATTATTCTATGAATAAAAAATGTTGATCTGGATATATGTAATTATTCTATAGCCATACAGTCCCAATGGATTATCTTATGGTGTTGTGAATAATGATGAAAGAGGTTAAATTGATTAGTCCTCACACATACTTCAGGTTTACAGGTTTACTTCTCACACCTGGTCCAGGTTTAGAGGTGTACTCCTCACATCTGGTCCAGGTTTAGAGGTTTAACTCTGAAACCTGTTTAAGGTTCATAGGTTTACATTCTCTACAATTATTGTAACCTGCATCTACTCCAGGTTCAGTGATGAACCTTATTCTTTTTTACTCTCTAGGAGGCCGAGGAAGCAGCACTTTATGCTGACGAGGACGAGGACGAGGATGAGGATGAGGATGAGGATGATGAAGAAGAGGAGGAAGAAGATGATGATTATGAGAAAAGTATAAACCATCCAGATCCATTGGTCGAAACAGCTGATCCAGATATCAACAAAATAAAGGTGCACATTGTAATTCTTTCTTAGAATACAATTCCTGGACCCTGAATACAATCAAAAATCCAATTTTCTTTATCCAGAGTAGACCTTGCATTCTCCATAACACACAAGGGAAATGAACCTTTGCCACAAACTCAAATTTTCTAATCCCTATTTGCTAATTCAAACTTCGATTATTTTATCTAACAGAACTCATAGTTTAAAATATCTAAGGTTTGCGACATTGCAAAGATAAAGGGATTAGAAAATTAGAGATTGTGACGAAGAATTAATTCCTTTAAAGATTTATTAAAATGTATAGTCGTAATAATTCTAATAATTATCTGCAATATCTAAAATCAGATTTTAAGATTTAAAAAAAAGAGGAAATACAAAATTGTCGGACTACATTTTTGAAAGCCCAAGACTAGGAGTTAAGTTCTTTTAATCTTAATAATTCTATTTTTCAGCGATCTCCTTCTGAATTTTCTGCTCTTAGTTTTCAACTCTTTGTCGACCAAACAAAGGAAAATTTCATCAGAAAAAAAAGTCTAATTAATCAAAAGAAATATTTGTTAAATGACTGAAAAGAAAAAAAATCAGATTTCCCTTAAAGTCAATATATAATCTGAATGAGAGGATTATAGAACGGAGTGGATAATAAAGAGCATATGAGTATTGAGTCAGACTGGGAAGATTCAAACATTGAATCCATCAATCCATCCGTCTCAAGCAGAAAGGTAAACATCGATCATTTCTCTTTGTTGTGAATATGTACCTGGATACTGGGTTATCTAGAAACCCAAGAATACCAGGGATACCAGGATACCAGGGATACCAGGGATACCAGGGATACCAGGGATACCAGGGATACCAGGGATACCAGGGATACCAAGGGAAACCAGGGATAAAGGTATACTGCAGGTTTACCGGGGATACTAGAGATATCAAGGATGCCAGGGATACCAGGGATACCTGGGATACCAGGGATACCAGGGATACCAGGGATACCAGGGACGAAATACGCATATTGTGTTTTTAAGATATGTATTATATATAAAGTCAAGAATAAGAATTATTGTATGAGGGTTAAAGGATGAGTACTTTGAGTATAGTCACAGTTTATACTATTGTTCTGTTTCTAGTTTACACAAACTTTTATCCTTCAATACAGATACATAAACATTACTCATACATACCTTTAATACAGATACATAAACATTACGCATACATACCTTAAATACAGATACATAAACATTACTCATACATACCTTTAATACAGATACATAAACATCACTCATACATACCCTAAATTCAGATACATAAACATTACTTATACATACCTTTAATACAGATACATAAACATCACAATACTTCCCTTAAAACAGATACATAAACATTACTCATACATAACTTTAATACATATACATAAACATTACTCATTCATACTTTCAAAACAGATTTCCTTGTTCTTCTCATATCTTGAGCTGTATTCTTGATCTTTACTGTCTGGAACTGTATCCTTGATCTTCTCCTGTCTTGAACTGTATCCTTGATATTCTCCTGTCTTGAACTGTATCCTTGATCCTCTCTTGTCTTGAACTGTATCCTTAATCCTCTCTTGTCTTGAGCTGTATCCTTGATCCTCCCTTGTCTTGAACTGTATCCTTAATCCTCTCTTGTCTTGAGCTGTATCCTTGATCTTCTCCTGTCTTGAACTGTATCCTTGATATTCTCCTGTCTTGAACTGTATCTTTGATATTCTCTTGTCTTGAACTGTATCCTTGATATTCTCCTGTCTTGAACTATGTCCGTGATATTCTCCTGTCTTGAACTGTATCCTTGATATTCTCCTGTCTTTAACTGTATCCTTGATGTTCTCCTGTCTTGAACTGTATCCTTGATGTTCTCCTGTCTTGAACTGTATCCTTGATATTCTCCTGTCTTGAACTGTATCCTTGATATTCTCCTGTCTTGAACTGTATCCTTGATATTCTCCTTTATTGAACTGTATCCTTAATATTCTTCTGTCTTGAACTATGTCTGTGATATTCTCCTGTCTTGAACTGTATCCTTGATCTCCTGTCTTGAACTGTGTCCTAGATTCTCTCCTGTCTTGAACTTTATCCTTGATATTCTCCTGTCTTGAACTGTATCCTTGATCCTCTCCTGTCTTGAACTGTATCCTTAATCCTCTCCTGTCTTGAACTGGATTCTTGATCATCTCCTGTCTTGAACTGGATTCTTGATCCTATGTTAACTTGAACTGTGTCCTAGAGCCTCTCCTGTCTTGAACTGGATTCTTGATCCTATGTTAACTTGAGATTGAAAAAAGTTGGATTGGTTTTATACTTTTCTATTCTAAGTATAAGAAGGTTTGTAAGAACCAGGATATATTATCTGGGAAAATCTGTGAAGGAAGCGGAGAGGAAAGTGGGTAGACATGATCTATATCCGGTTCTTTAACTATTCTTTTCATGCACGTGGACTACACGCGTTTCCTTTCCCAGGATCTAGTATTCCGGGTATATAGTCCCTGTATACCGGATATTGTACTTGTATACCGGTTATATAGTCCCAGTATACCGGATATATAGTCCCAGTATACCGGATATATAGTCCCAGTATACCGGATATATAGTCCCTGTATACCGGATATTGTACTTGTATATCGGATATATAGTCCCAATATACCGGATATATAGTCCCTTTATACAGGATATATTGTCCCAGTATAACGAATATGTAGCCCCAGTATATCGAATATATAGCCCCAGTATACCGAATATATAGTCCCAGTATACCGAATAAATAGTCCGAGTATACCGAATATATAGTCCCAGTATACATTAATATAGCACCAGTATACATGATATATAGTCCCAGTATACCGGAAATGTAGATTGTATACCGGATATATAGTCCCAGTATACCGGATATGTAGATTGTATACCGGATATATACATGATCATATTAAATATGTTTTCTTAAATGTATTTTATTTCTAGAAAATGTTAAGATTGCCAAACCATGTAAGTTAAATTTGATTTTCTCAATTCTCAGCACACAAAAAGACAAATTTAGACGTTTGTATAGACGATGATTTTATATGATTTTTCTTGATCACGCTTTCAACACGATAAACTATACATTTTCCTATATTTTGGCTGATTGTTTACTATTCAATTTAAGAACTACTTGATTTACAAACTATTTGCTTTATAATTAACAAAGCTGATTTGTAAATGAGTTGATAAATGAACTAGCAAACTAATGCTAGTTATTTTTATAATACATAATAGCTGATCTATAAATAAGTTTAATTATAAATAAGCTGATATACAAATTAGTTTTTAATGAATAAGCTGATTTTTAAACTACACGATTTACATAGCTTGCTATATTTTTTGAACAACTTGCTAAAATTGCTTTTATGATAAAAGTTTATACATATAAACTAGTTGATGTCTTGAAACAAGTTAATTTAAAAATTGGCTGGTTTATGAAGCTTTTGTCTTATTTTTATTTTAGTGTGAAAAACTGTATTATTGTTTTATTGCACTGGTAGCATAATGCTTAAGCTAATCACTTTCTAACTAATCTAACTAACCTTACTAACTAACTAACTAGCTAACTAGCATAACTATATTGAATTTGTGTTTAGTTAATTTATCCAACCGGAAGTATAAATACTAATATTACTAACTTTATAAACTTTCAGGCCAGCCTTAGTTTGCCAGGATCTCCTTTTCATAGTCGGTACTCCAGGAGTAGTCATAATTATACCTGGAGAACCAACGGTGTGAGATATAGTGAAAATCGACTCCGATCCTCCTATCTAGAGGCACATGAGTCCCTGCCTTACATGGATGATAGTAGAGCTGTTTCTCCCCTGGGTAGTCTAGATATTGTACCAGGATACTATAATCATTCTAGACAGAACTCATACAGCTCACATTCATCCAGAATAACATATAACTCTCATGCTGAACTAACTAACCGGGGTGGTTCCAGGGAATTGCATTGGAGAAGGTCCGCCAATGAGCGAGGGATGACCTGGGGTAATTATATAAACTCCTGGCACACTAACAATGACCTCCCTCTGCCCTCCAATGGACACAAGCATATGGATAAACTAAGCGCAATCAAGACAATCCTTCCTGATCAGTCTCAGGACAAACCCAGACCTAGTGTTCAATTTCCAGTAAGTCATGATAAATGATAGAATATTCCTTTCTGCTAAATTATATTTGTATTGTTACCTTTTCCTTATCTCTAATCACCATTTACCAAAACACCCTTCATATGGTCTATAAAAAGTTTACATTTTTCGACCTTATTGGACATTTCATTTCTTATTTAGACAAAACCTGGGAGAGAATAAGGCTTGGAAAATTTTTGACCCTGAATTTTATTTTATTAAAAATGCATTTTTAAGATATAACATTTCCCCCGACCATCTCAACTGACTAGACGAAAGATACCGCTTGATTGTTAAGATAGAAAAGAAGATAGATAGAGAGAGAGAGAGACCATTTAGAGTTTTTACTGAGATTCTAGGTTCTTAGACGAAAACAAACAATTTCTTTAAACTCTTGCAGTTTATAAACTCTCCACCGATCCAGTTTAAACATTCCAGGACAAAGTTTAAAACAATTTAATTTGATCTTATAATTAGTTTTTGATTTTTTTTTCTAGCATGAAGTTTGTTTCTTTTAATAATTTAAAATTCTAGCAGATGAAGATCTACCACGAAGAATTTGTATTCAGATCGTTTAGTGTAGAGATTTAGTCTCATACGCTGTGCGCGACCCCAAGGTTATAATGCAAGGAAAGTTGATAAAAGCATTGCATTTTGAAAATGTTGATATTTCATATAATACAGTGAAACCCTTAATAACGAATACATCGAAAGAATTTATCAATTGTCGTCTTGACAATTTTTCCATGAGTTTTATACTATATTTCGTAAATTTCAGTATTTGAGAAAATTAATAAATAGCCATGAATATGCGGGAACAGTTTTAAAGAGTTCCACATAATCATTGAATTAAATAACTAAATATCTGCAACATTCCATTATCAGAAAGTGAAGAATACGACATTTGATGAATTCTTTCGATGTATTCGTTATTAAGGGGTTCACTGTAGTTTCCTATGACCAGAATATTTAATTGATTTTTTTTTATGTGAAAGATGGATCCCATGTCAGGCTGTGACATCCGTCTTGTGTTTACATTACCGCCCAGAGAGAGTACACTGCAGTACAAAAGATGCGTACACCACTGAAATAACTTTCCTTGCATTATAACCTTGCGTGACCCTGTCTTTTATAAATATAAATACAACTCCCCCCCACATTTGTGTCCTTATTTATTTTCCCCTTCCGGTTTATTTAATCTTGGTAAAGCTTGTATTGATCCAAAGAGATAGATAAAAATAGTCCTGTGGGATTGCACACCAAGTAATCTAATTATGACACATGCATAGAATTCAGAAACAAAACTGTTTCATTAAACAGAAAATATGATTCATTGTTATTGTAATAATTGTAGCATAACAGCACAATGAGTCTCTGGAGGGGTATTGAGATAATCAGCAAATTATATCTCTATATTGGAAGATTTGATATGAAATGTTAAAATTATTACAACAATATTGTGCTGTTATTACAGTGTTGTTCATTTTCTTTCTTGTTTTTTTATTTAAATGACAAGACGTTCTTTAAAGTACATTTCATTTGTAGACGAGCATGCCCGATTTTTTACCGTACTCTTTGAACCTTTATCTGAGTATAGATATATATGAAAGTATAATCCTCGTTTTTTTCTTCCAATTGTGGTTTCTATCTTAAACTCGCGGATTTTATTTTGCAGAGGGAAAGGGCATAATTTAAAGAACACTTTAAGTTGGAAAACTAAAAAATTAAGGTACCGTTGTGAATCGGTCATGTCCCTTTAAACTACATGTATAATCCCTTTTAGTTGAAAATTTACAAATGCCAGAATTTGTATCGGGATTAATCATAAATTTTGAATTTAGTAAATTTAAAATTGTGTAATATCGTCCGGCCACAGTACCACCAGAAATCTGACAATTTTGTTGCTGCCAATGAGATTGGCGAACCAATAATATCACGCGGAAAATGAACCAATAATATCACGCGGAAAATGAACCAATAATATCACGCGGAAAATGAACCAATAATATCACGCGGAAAATGAACCAATAATATCACGCGGAAAATGAACCAATAATATCACGCGGAAAATTCCAACACACGCTAAATCTAATCGTCAAAAATTAAAATAACCGGTTATCCGTATGACCGCACATGCGTGAAAATGGAGGTTTTCATTTTTCATCCGATTCAGAAGTGTGCGCAGCTTTGCAGGATTTTCATTTAAGCATCTATTGGTCTATTTTGTTAAAAACTTTATTCAATTTGTGATGCTTTCTTTAATTATTCTTTTTTTTCCAGGATGTAAACCCTCGATATGGAGGTGGAGGAGGAGGTGGGGGAGGTGGAGGAGGAGGTGGAGGAGGATATAGACAAGATAATCCTTTTCTTGACAACACAAATAATTCAAATCTTGATATTAAAGGTAAATCTTGATATTAAAGGCAAATCTTGATATTAAAGGTAAATCTTGATATTAAACTTTAGATCGTTTTTAAACAAATCCCAACCCTACTCTCTAGCACTAGAATTATATCATTTTCTTCTCAATACATTTCGCCAAAAACTTTGGCATCATCAGGAGTTAGTCCTATAATATAACAGATATAAGCAAAAAATAAAAATAAAAAATACAAACACAGCAACTATAATAAATACAGAAGAGAACAAAAATAAAAATCTTTTTTATTGTAAAATGGAATTTTTCAAAATGAATATTGTCAGAACACATAAAACTTAAAAGAAAAATTAGAAAACCGTACCTTACTCTTTTGAAGAGTATTGAATGACTGGGAAAGGATTGACTAGTTTATGGGCGTATGCAGTGGGGGAAGGGGGGGGGAGTGTTGAAGGGGTTAGAATTCGTCGACAAATCTTGATATTAAAGGTAAATCTTGATATTAAAGGTAAATTATCCTATTTAATGATAATTTATTTCTTGAGGGAAGAAACTTAACACTCTCCACAAACTCTAATTTTTTTAAATTTTAATATCTTTGCAACCTGATTGATTGAAATTCGAAGACTATTCGACTCATATTTTGAAATTACAAGTTGGAAAGAAATATAGATTAGAAAATTACAATTTGTATTTAGTGCCTTTTTTCTTATTAATTTTACAATCATAAATTTCTTAATTGTCATTTGATGATGTGTAATATTGAATTTATAATTGTAGATGTGATAGTATTAAACGATATTCTGGAGCAGGCCTCCAGACGACCCTCAGCTAGAAGGTCAACAATCATCGAGGAGGAGGAGGGGTTCAGGTAAACATTTACATATATCCAGCCAGGCTAGATTATCCCCCAGCTAGAAGGTCAACAATCATCGAGGAGGAGGAGAGGTCCAGGTAAACATTTATATAGATCCAACCAGGCTAGATTATCCTCCAGACGACCCCCAACTAGACGGTCAACAATCATGGAGGAGGAGGAGGGGTTCAGGTAAACATTTACATAGATCCATCCTTGCTATAGCCCAGGCTAGGTCATACCGGGTCCAAATGTAAGGTACGCCTACACTAGACCAAGCTTAGTGCCAGTAAATGCCTATACAGAATGGTTAAATTGGCTTCATTGAGGATTTAGATAAACAGGTGAACAGTTGAAGAATTCATTGAGGATTCAGGTATAGTCACCTTTGCAGCTTAAACTTAAAAACCGATGAAAACAACAAAAACCTCTCTTATACTATCGGTGTGAACTGTACACTTTCTTTATGGGGATGGGCAGATGGAGTGGGGTGTGGGAGGATTAAAATATTGAACATAGAAGTTGTATTGTATGATATATACCATTGTAAATGAAATATATAATTCATATTATAATTCAGGAAAGAAATTAATGCGAAATTAATGGCGCTTCTATACTTAACTAAAACTTTGAAATTAATTATTAATTTTTAGTTGAGGTTTATCAAGGTTTGAAAACAAAAGATAATTAATTATAAAGAAGGTTGGTTAAAAATCGATTTTTCGTAAAACTGTGAGTTTATAAGCGCAAAGTTGTTGCACAACATTTTTCCAAAATAACAGCAAATGTTTGACGAATTGTTTAAAACTTGAAGAAAAAATGTATTTTAACATCTTAATGTGAAACACAACTGACACTATTAAAACACATACTAAAGAAATTAAGTTTTAAAAGAATTTCTTTATTAATGGAAAAACAATGAATATATAATTTTATACTTTCGTCATTCACTTTTAGTCAATAACATGTTTATAAAGAAAATGCAGATAATTTACCTGTCCTGCATGCGGGAGGATTACACTTTTAAATAAAACATTCATTTAATTCTTTCCTTTCTTCTAAAATATTAATATATTCATAGTTCATAAATTCATATTCGTTAAATAATAGAACAGTTCTATGAAAGTTAAAGGCCAAACTGAAACTTGCCATATTAAACAATAAAACAAAATTAGTTAAAAATAAACTGAGTCTTTGCCACAAAATCAAATGTTCTAATGCTATAGCTTTGCAACCTGATGGTGTAAACCTTTGACACTTAATTGATACAACAGAATTCATGGTTTAAAATATCTAATGTTTGCAGCAATAGGCTTCTATGGTCACACTACGACATTGGGTTGCAAAGAAATGGGACAGTAAATCTCAGTTTGTGGCAAAAACTCAATTCCTTACTAAATGTCAAGAATAGTAATTACAATCTTACAGAACGTAAAGAAAAGAAAAAGAGCACTGCCCCCCAAAAGTAATTTTTTCATACATATATCTTTGCAACCTGATAATCCTTTGATGTTTCAACTTTGATCTTGCAGTATTTATAGTTAGGAATATCAAAGTTTCAAAGATATAAAAATTATAAATGTTTATAGTTTTTAGTATCTTTATCTTGATAATAATTTTATGTTTATATATTTATACATATTTATATATATATTTAGATTAAAAGACAGGTTGGCTGAGGGCTGCGCTAAATGTATTGATATATTCTGCGTATGGGACTGTTGTGGATGCTATATAAGGAAAAAACAAAATCATCAAATATTTTCAAATTCATGCAAAATATGAAATTTTCAAGTTTTCGAAGGATTTTATTCAAAATATTGTTAAGCAAAAAAAACTCGAGAATACTTGGAATAGAAGAACCAAATATATTTTTTAATGTTTGACTAACATTTTTCTTCTCATCTTTCTTGATTTTATTTTGCGAAAGATGTTCATTTTTTGTTAGTTTGTATAACTATAAAAATCTATAAGTGTTGATGAAATTAATTGTAAAGAGAAAGTTCAGGATAGATGAAGTTAAGTAGTTTAGATACATCTTGTACATATTTATGTTTCTGTTCATCAAATACATTTTTATCTCCACCAAATAAACGCGGAACGAACCCAACTTTTTGTTACCTACAGAACCCCATGCAAACCTACTCTAAATCTAAAAAACTTAATTCGATTTTTCTTTAAAAAGAAATGATTTTTTATGATATACGAAGAATATATATATATATATATATATGTATGTATCCAGGAAGAGTTGCCAATATGATTGAGGTATCTGGAGAAGGTTGGGTTTGATCTCCGACATTGTAATTAATTTCGTCCACAAGATAACACTCAACCCAACAAACAACCATATCTATTTTCTTCCTTCGCTTCTATTAAATGTCTTTTTTAACTCTTAGAATTGGACTATATTTCATGTCTCCTTGATACAGCTATTCTTTAGCTCTTTTTTTCTAATAATAATTTTTTCAGAAAACTCATTTTTTGAAATTGTGTTCTCTATTTAACATTTAAGAAATGTTTAAATCAACCCGAAAAATGTAAAATAGTTTGGTACCCAACAGCTTCCTTTCATATCAAAACGATTCCATGAATTTTTTTTACTACTTTTTTTTCTGAAGTTTGTTCTAATTCTGTTCAATCCTTTTCTATTTCTATTCCACCTTTCTTTGAATCTGTAAGTTTTGTTTCCTAAAGTAAATACCTATCATATCTTCGCTAATCTTCTAGATAATCTTTAGAGAATTCTTCATCATACTTCAACCTTTAGATTTTTGAATTTTCAATTTTTCTTTTCTCTATTTTATGCCCAGCTTGCATCTTTTGGATCCTGCCTCTGATTCAGCGCTAAATGCAAATATACTTTTCCAGAACTTTTTAGATTTTGTTACAGAAAAGAAATATTTTTTATTCATTATACATCAATTATAAACTCCATTATACATCAATTATAAACTCCATTATAAAGACTGAAACAATTAATCGCTTCAAATAAACTTAAATTTTAATTCTCTGAGCAAAGACACTTTAAAGAAGAAGTTGTCTGGTAAGAAATTTTAACCGACCGTTTTTTTAATCTTTAATTACTAAAAAAACCAATGTCGTAGACCTTAGATATTTCAAACTGTGAATTCTTTCAGATCACTGATCTAAGTTAGAATTATTATCAGATGTAAAGATTAGAATCTTTTACACTGGATTTGTTATACTTCTGTTAGATTATTCCTTCTTGAAAGTTTCCTTGAAACCTGGATGTGGTGATATTAGTTATATATATATATAAAGATGTGAGGATTTATAGTGTAGATAACATTCTTCACAGCTTAGAAATATTCCATTTAACAGAATGAAATATTCTTCTAGAATCTCAATGAAGAACAGGAGGAAAAATTGGAGTAATGCTAAGTATTTAAGAACACTACACTTATACAGTTTCATCCAGAACTTCTGAGTCATCAAAAGAACTTATAAAATGTCGTCTTGAAAATTTTATACTATTATACCTAAATCTCAGTAATTGTTAAAATAAAAAAATGGCCATGAAATATGCGTGGCAGGAGCTTTATATAATTATTCCATTAAAAAACTAAACAGGAAAAATAGGAGTTAAATATAGCATTATTTAGGAGCACTTATGAGTAATTAGAAGTATCTAAGATGTTTAGGAGTATTAAGGAATGTTTGTGCGTAATTAGGAGTATTTAAGGGTTTTTAAAGGTATTAATGGATATTTAGGAGTATTAAGGATATAAGCAATTTGGAGCATCTAGCAGTGTTAGGTGCAGTATTTAAATGCATTAAGGAGTATTTAGGTTTATTTAGGTGTTTTATCGTAGTAATTAGGAGTATATGTGGTATTTAGGTGTAATTAGAAGCATTATATGAGTATATAGGGATATATAGGTGTATTTAGGAGTATTTAGGTGTATTTAGGGTGTTGGGTCATTTCATAGAAAAACATTTCATAGACAGGACATTTCATAGAAAAAGAAATTCATAGAAAGGACATTTTATAGATAGAACTTTTCATATACAGGATATTTCATAGACAGAGTAGATATTTTCAGAGACAGGCAATTTCATAAACAGAGAAGAATTTTCATATATAGGTAGTTTTAAAGACACGAAAGCAATTTATTCAAAGAGACAATTTAAGGTTTTGGGTATGTAAAAATGTGTCAAAATTTTAGAAAATGTGATCAGTTTGACTACTATGAAATCAACAATATGATATGTCTATGAAATGTCCTATCTATGAAATGTCTTTCTATAAAATGACCCAACATATTTAGGAGTATTATAGGAGAGTACTATATAGGAGTATTTAGGCGTATTTATGTGTTTTTAGAAGTATTAAGGTGTATTTATGTAGACTTATTTATGAGTATTAAAGAGTATTTATGAGTAGTAGGGAGTATTTTTGTGTATTTCGGTGTATTATAGGAGTATTGAGTTCCAAAGAATAAATACGGAGTATTTTGGAGTATTTATTTAACTAGACAAAAGAAAATGTTCTACGTCAATTTAAAAAAAGCTAGTGCTCTAAACCCAAGAAAAACAATGATTTTTTTGTCGAGTCTAGACTAGCGGAGATGCTTTCATTTGTAGTCTTCGATCCGTTCGCTGACCTGTTTATCACCTTATGTATCGTTGTCAATACATTCTTTATGGCCCTGGACCAACATGATATGGATCCTGGAATGGAGAGTGCGCTTAAAAATGGAAATTATGTAAGTACCTAATTTTTATAAAACAAATCAAAACTTCAAGCTTAATTTTTAGTGAACCCATATATTGAGAGGGGTATTGACAATTCACAATCACAACAGCAGCAAGATTTAATTCTATATTTGATAAATTATATAAGTGTAGTGTTGCCATTTTTCCATTCATGGGATGGGATGATTATTATTTTGCTTTTTTTCATGATTAAATTTCTTTAAGTTACTTTTTAGAAAAAATTGCAACTTTTGTTAAACAATTAAACCAATAAAAAGGTTTTAAGGGAACCTTTGTTAAACAATTAAACCAATATAAAGGTTTTAAGGGAACCTTTGTGAACTTTTGTTAAACAATTAAACCAATATAAAGGTTTTAAGGGAACCTTTGTGAACTTTTGTTTCACTTTTGAAATGGAAGGTTACACTTTCAAATTACATTGACAGTCCCTTTAAGTATAGATTCTCCTATTTCACCTTTTTCATTAGTCTGGCCTAGGCCAAACTCTTAATTAGGAAAAAGAAAAACCAAATTCAATTTAAGAATTCAATATTCAAAGTTTAAAAGGGGATGTTTTGCAAAATAATCAATTTTGATTTTCTATATTGAAAATAAAACGTTTAATTCAAAATAGAATCTATATTTTTCTAAAATCTAAAATATCCACGTCAATTTATGGATGGTTTTTATTGCGAAAATAACAAAATATTTTCATGATAAGGTTTAGATGATCATTACAAAATATTTTCATGATAAGGTTTAGATGATCATTACAAAATATTTTCGAAGGTATTCAAATTCAAATATAAATATTTTGTTTTAGTTTTTTACTGCTACATTCGCTGTGGAGGCTGTGATGAAGTTGATGGCTATGAGCCCGAAATTCTACTTCAAGGAAAAATATTCTTTAGATATTTAGGAGCGATTAGCACCATTTCGGCGGATAATTTGAACTTTTGTACGTCTAATCTGGGACCAGATTTATTAATTAGCGAGGAGTTGAACCGCGAAATGTGGGTAAACCACTTTTCTTGTGCTCCAGTTCAAGAGAAGTAGTTTTACTACGTCTAGCAGTTTAACTACCATTCAACACAAATTCTGATTTTAATTCAGCGATTTTAAATTTTCCAAATTAAATTCGTGCATTGCAGATTTTCCCATAGAATCAAAAAAGGATAGGATTGTTCCATACATAAACAATGAATCCTGTAAAACTTATGTTATACATCAAACAGTCAGAACAGATATTCTTAGATTCTTTCAGACTTGTCGGATTATTTTCCTTCCAATCCCCTTCAGATTATTCTCCTTCCAATCCCCTTCAGATGATTCGCCTTCCAATCCACTTCAGATTATTCTCCTTTGAATCCACTTCAGATTATTCTCCTTCCAATCCCCTTCAGATGATTCTCCTTCCAATCCCTTTCAGATTATTCTCCTTCCAATTCACTTCAGATTATTTTCCTTCCAATCCACTTCAGATTATTCTCCTTTGAATCCACTTCAGATTATTCTCCTTCCAATCCCCTTCAGATGATTCTCCTTCCAATCCCTTTCAGATTATTCTCCTTCCAATTCACTTCAGATTATTTTCCTTCCAATCCCCTTCAGATTATTCTCCTTTGAATCCACTTCAGATTATTCTCCTTCCAATCCCTTTCAGATTATTCTCCTTCCAATCCACTTCAGATTATTCTCCTTTCAATCCACTTCAGATTATTCTCCTTCCAATCCCTTTCAGATTATTCTCCTTCCAATCCACTTCAGATTATTCTCCTTTGAATCCACTTCAGATTATTCTCCTTCCAATCCCACTTCAGATTATTCTCCTTCCAATCCCTTTCAGATTATTCTCCTTCCAATCCACTTCAGATTATTCTCCTTTGAATCCACTTCAGATTATTCTCCTTCCAATCCCCTTCAGATGATTCTCCTTCCAATCCCTTTCAGATTATTTTCCTTCCAGTCCACTTCAGATTATTCTCCTTTCAATCCACTTCAGATTATTCTCCTTTCAATCCACTTCAGATTATTCTCCTTTGAATCCACTTCAGATTATTCTCCTTTCAATCCCCTTCAGATGATTCTCCTTCCAATCCCCTTCAGATGATTCTCCTTCCAATCCCCTTCAGATTATTCTCCTTCCAATCCACTTCAGATTATTCTCCTTTCAATCCACTTCAGATTATTCTCCTTCCAATCCCCTTCAGATGATTCTCCTTCCAATCCCTTTCAGATTATTCTCCTTTCAATCCACTTCAGATTATTCTCCTTCCAATCCACTTCAGATTATTCTCCTTTCAATCCACTTCAGATTATTCTCCTTCCAATCCACTTCAGATGATTCTCCTTCCAATCCACTTCAGATTATTCTCCTTCCAATTCACTTCAGATTATTCTCCTTCCAATCCCCTTCAGATGATTCACCTTCCAATCCCTTTCAGATTATTCTCCTTCCAATCCACTTCAGATTATTCTCCTTCCAATCCCCTTCAGATGATTCTCCTTCCAATCCCCTTCATATTATTCTCCTTCCAATTCACTTCAGATTATTCTCCTTTCAATCCACTTCAGATTATTCTCCTTCCAATCCCCTTCAGATTATTTTCCTTCCAATCCACTTCAGATCATTCTCCTTTCAACCCCCTTTAGATTATTCTCCTTCCTACTAACAGTGCTAACTTGAAAACTGCGAATTTAGGCTTCTTTATTTCTTTTATTATGAATTTACAGTAAAAATATAATCTATATGATAAAACAAGACATTAGTATATATGTTTCCTATAGCTGGCAAAACGGCTGGACCGAATGGGCTGATATTTTTTAAGGAACCCAGGGGTATCACGGGGGTATCAACCAGATGGTGTAAACCTTTCATATTTCAAGCTTAGATTATTTGATCCATCAGAATTTATAGTTTTAAATATCTAAGGTCTACGACATTGGGTTGTAAAGATTTAAGGATTAAAAAATTAGGAGTTTATACGTGCTTTAATAACGTTTGCAGAAATATATCACTTATAACAATGAAAAAGCAATAGAAATGAAGAAGACGGCATTCAATCCATAGTTTGCTGGTTATCACTGAACCTATATACCTCCCAATAGCTCCCTAATCACCTAACTAGTTTATTTATCTTGATTTGTTTAATTCTGCAATATATTGAAGAATAATTCATCGTAAAATTACTGCAGCATAATATTCAATGCATCCTGATTATCCAGTATAACCATGTTCATGTAGTCCCAGAGATTTTACAGACAGGACAACAGAGGAAGTTGTTCATGATTACGCTATGTAATCTATGTATATATTTGTAAAGAATATCTGTATTTAGGAGGGTTGGAATATATTTGATTTTATAATCGTTTCTCTTTCACTCATTGAGCTGGGTCTGGCCAACGTATCCGGTCTATCCGTCCTTAGGTCTTTCAGACTGGTAAGTTTTTTTCTTTATACAATACAGTAGTACCCAGGATACTGTGGAAAACGAAGAAGATAGAGTATAAGCCATGTATACTGTGAAATGAAAGAAATGTAATCAATCTTTTTTACTAGAAGCTTGAAATCAATTTAATAAGTAAAATGAATCTGTGTACACAACACAATGTGCTATGTTTCATGTTCATTGTTCATTAGATTATTTAGAATAATAACTTGAGTCTTACATTGATCTTTCTTTTCCACATTTCTATGCGTGCCACTGTACATAGGGGTCGGGGGTTCTTGTTTACACAATTTAAAAAGTGGAACTGGAGTGCTAGCTGTCTATATATATGTACATATAGTGGAACTGGAGTGCTAGCTGTCTATATATATGTACATATAGTGGAACTGGAGTGCTAGCTGTCTATATCTATGTACATATAGTGGAACTGGAGTGCTAGCTGTCTATATATATGTACATATAGTGGAACTGGAGTACATTCAGTCTATATGTTAATGAACGTAAAGTAGCGGCAATTTTTTTAGTCTATATGTACATAGAGGTTTGGAGTTCTTTGCAGATATTTTGTAGTGAAAAGGAGTCCCTGGAGAGAAATAATAGAATCTAAAGTCATTTTATATCTTCATTTAAGATTGAATCCCTGAGAACTCCAAAGTATATTTCGTCCATTATAAAAGTGAGGTTTTTGGACAGACAAATTTGTAGATTTTACTCTGGTTAAATGAGACCAATCTAATTATGGTAATCCTACGACAGATTAGCGGAGTCAGACTAAGGGAGGTTTTATTCTAAACCAAAAAGTTTTAAAAAGAAACTTTCTAATCCTTAAATATTTGCAGCCCAATGTAGAATAGACCTCAGATATTCTGAAGTATGTATGAGTTCTGTTAGATGAAATAATCTAAGTTTGAAATATCAAAAGTGTACACCATCAGGTTGCAAAATTAAAGGGATCGGAATGTTTGAATTTTGGCGCAAAAGCAAAATTTCTGAATCCAAAATATTTTTAGACCCCATTTTATTGTTAAGCTTGATATTCCCTTAATTTTCTCATTACTCCCCCTCCGCTAATGATTTCTTTATAGTTCCTTGTTGTGCGTTAATCTATTTTTCAAGATTTAAATAAACGAATTCTTGTCTTCCGAATTGATCTCATGAATAAACTGATCCTCCAACTTAGATGAAAATTCACGAATAATTTTCGGAGACAAATCTATTCTAGTTTCAGAACCTGCAGCTTATTCACAAATCCGTCCTATCTCAAAAACTAGAGTTTAAGCGTCCTATCTTCCCTAGTTCCATAATCAGAAGCATACTCCTGGATTAACAAAACCCCGTCTTAGCTCCCGAACCTAGAGTATACACAAATCATGCCTTTTCCATTATGAGGAGCATACTCCTGAATTAACAAAACCCCGTCTTAGCTCCCGAACCTAGAGTATACACAAATCATGCCTTTTCCATTATGAGGAGCATACTCCTGGATTAACAAAACCCCGTCTTAGCTCCCGAACCTAGAGTATACACAAATCATGCCTTTTCCATTATGAGGAGCATACTCCTGGATTAACAAAACCCCGTCCTAGCTCCATACCTAAAGAATACACAAATCCTTCCTAGTTCCATACTCAGGAGCCATACTCCTGGATTAACAAAACCCCGTCTTAGCTCCATTACCTAGAGTATACACAAATCCTACCTAGTTCCATAATCATGAGCATACTCTTCTGGATCAACGAAACCCATTCTAGCTCCATTACCTGGAGAATACATAAATCCTGACTAGTTTCATAATCGGGAGCAATATCCTGGATTAACAAAACCCCGTCCTAGCTCCGACGCCTAGAAAATACAAAAATCCAACCTAGTTCCATAATCAGGAGCATACTCCTGGATAAACAAAACCCCGTCCTTGCTCCGACGCCTAGAAAATACAAAAATCCAACCTAGTTCCATAATCTGCAGCATACTCCTGGATCAACGAAACCTCGTCCTACCTCCGGAACCTAGAGAATACACTAATCAAACCTAGTTCCATAACCAGGACCATTATCCTGGATCAACAAAACCCCGTCCTAGCTCCATAACCTAGAGAATTCACTAATCAAACCTAGTTCCATAATCAGAAGCATATTCCTTGATTACCAAAACCCCGTCCTAGCTCCATAACCTAGAGAATACACAAATCCTGTCTAGTTCCATAATCAGGAGCATACTCCTGGATTAACAAAACCCCGTCCTTGCTCCGACGCCTAGAACATACAAAAATCCAACCTAGTTCCATAATCTGCAGCATGCTCCTGGATCAACGAAACCCCGTCCTAGCTCCGGAACCTAGAGGATACACTAATCAAACATAGTTCCATAACCAGGACCATACTCCTGGATTAACGAAACCCCGTCCTAGCTCCGGAAATTGGAGTTTACTCTCCCCCTGAATCTTAGATCCCTCTCCCGTGCTGATACAAAAGAGGAGGATTATCGGAGATTTAATTTTCTTTCGTCCTGGATTCTCCAGGTCCCTTCTTTTACAGGAGAAAGTTGAAACTAGAGTTGCTAACCTGGTTTCAGAGCAGAAAATGTTAAATATAGGATTCAGGCAGCCAGGGGACTCCTGTCTTCGAATTAAAGAGAGTAGAAGCAAAGAACAATTTAATATCAGAATTGAAGAGAAGAAGAAATGGAATATGGAAAGAAGAGCATAAAGGTTTTAGAATTAGGATAAAAGCCTTTATAGGGTGAGACATCTATGTGTGTATCTAGATTGAACAAAAATCTAAGAAAGGAATTGAGTTTTTGCTACAAACTCAAATTTTATAATCCGTATTTTCAATCTTTTCAATCTGCAATGGTGAACATCTTTGATATTTCTAACTTAGATTATTTTACTAATTTTAAATATAAAGAGTCTACGATATAGCGTTGAAAGACATAGGGTTTAGAAAATAATAGTTTGTTAAATAGACTCAATGGAAATTTTGAGCTCTGAAAATTTATTTATAATTGCAATTTTAAAGGATCTAATGTCACCGGGACCAGATTTTAAAATTTTTTTGAACACTTAACCAACCTCTCGTCGGTCAAATCGAAGTTTAAAACAATGAGATATCGGTTTATCTCTACACGGGGAAAGAATTAGTTTAACTCAATCTGTCCGTTTAAAAGTCTCCATCTATCCATCTATCCATCTCTCTGTTAAATCTTTTTGTATTTTTAGCTGAGAGTATTCAAATTGGCAAAGTCCTGGCCGACGCTCAACTTGCTAATATCAATCATGGGAAAGACGATGGGAGCCCTGGGGAACCTCACGTTCGTTCTCTGCATCATCATCTTCATCTTCGCCGTCATGGGGATGCAGCTGTTTGGGAAAAGTTACACAGGTAACTTTTAGAGCAACTTTGTGCTTTAATTTCTCTGTTAATTCCCCCCCCCCCTCCCTCCCTCCCGCCCTCCTAGGGCATCTAGGTAGTATTGACTTCAAAGCATGAAACTAGGATTAAACATAGTTTTAGATAATTTTACTCATTATTATTTAAATAGGTTTCTGTCACCTAAGACACACTGTATATATTGAAGTTTGTGAAACTGATGTAAATAAAGTTCAGAAAAAATCAAATTTTCTTTTTTTCTAGAATTTTCCCAACCTTGCTAAAAGTTTAGTAAACTGGTTGCAAACCTTTGCAAACCCTTGCAAAGCTTTGCAAACTAGTCCCCTGCAAGGAACATTGTTTGAGCTGAAGAAGATCATAATGACCATCAGGTTTTTAGAAAATTTCAAGGATTTCGATGATTTTAAGAATTTCGAGGATTTCTTGGATCTTTAGGATTTCTTTAATTTCTAGGATTTCTTGGATTTAAAGGATTTCTTGGATTTATAGGATTTTTGGATTTCTAGGATTTCTTGGATTTCTAGGATTTCAAGGATTTCGAGAAGTTTCCGAGATACATTTTTTGGGTGCAAAATTTAAATTTGAAAAGCATCAATGGCTTCCTAAGCTGTACATCTTTTTGTTATCTTATTCCATTGATTAGAATTAAATTATTATTGTTGAGAAGTGCAGTGTTCTACTCTATCTCTACATATTAATGGATTAGATAAAACTTTTCTTCTCAACATTTCTAATATTGAGATTAGGATTTCCAATACTGGGATAAAGGGATACTTTCCAATTAACCTGAAAAATATAAATTCTTGGCAACCCGCGCCATTTTTTTTTATAATTATAATTTTTTGTTATCCTGATCAAGCGCAAATCACAAGGGGGTTATTGTTTTCTATAAAGTTTCTCTTTTTGATATCGATCTGATGAATGCATGTGATAAAATATTTACAAATCTGGACGGAACCATTCCGATCCTCCGCAGCACAGCATATTCGATTTGAAACTTTTTACAAATCTTTTATGAAATTTAAATTTTTATATTTTAATTAATCATGATTTGAGCACAGTCATGGTATCAATTTTTATAATGTAACATAATCTATCTATCATATTGGCACTTATAGATCAATTGCTTATTTTCGACCATTTCTAACAAAACTTTAAAAAAAGCTGAATTGGTACTTTTAAACAGGATTTTTTTTTACTGTTTTCTTAGTTGCAATTTATTGAGAACTATTTATTGGAATGCGCATATTAAACAGTGGCTACTTTTGTTTGTATTAAAATTGATTACTAGATGGCCTATTGGATACATCAATATACGAATTCAAGGAATTGAGTCTTTGCCATACACTCAAACCATCGGTATTTCAAACTAAGATTATTTTATCTAACAGAATTTATAGTTTGAAAAAAAATAATGTCTTCATCATTTTGTTGCAAGGATATAGGAATTAGAAAACCAGAATTTGTGGCAAAGATTCAATTCCTTTAAAGTTTATAATTTCAAATCTAGTTTTGTCTCTAAAAAAAGCACTGTAGTTTTTACTGAATGCATGAGAATTTTCTTTATCCAACCTTACATAGTTCATAATCAATAAACAGAGAACTTACAACATTCTAGTCAGCAAATAGACTTATCTATTTAGAACACAAACTGTAGGAAACTATCTTTAGGATACTGTCTATACGAAACTTACTCTAGGAAACTGTAGGAAACTATCTTTAGTAAGCTATCTTTAGGAAACTATCTTTAGGATACTATCTGTAGGAAACTATCTTTAGGAAACTATCTTTAGTATGCTATCTGTCTGTACGAAACTATCTCTAGAAAACTGTAGGAAACTATCTTTAGGAAACTATCTTTAGGATACTATCTTTAGGATACTATCTATACAAAACTTTCTCTAGGAAACTGTAGGAAACTACATTTAGTAAGCTATCTGTAGGAAACTATCTTTAGGATACTATCTTTAGGAAACTATTTGTAGGAAACCATCTCTAGGAAACTATAGGAAACTATCTTTAGGATACTATCCGTACGAAATTTTCTCACTGAAACTGTAGGAAACTACCTTTAGTAGGATATTTGTAGGAAACTATCTTTAGGATACTATCTTTACGAAACTATCTCTAGGAAACTGTAGGAAACTATCTTTAGGGAACTATCTGTAGGAAACTATCTTTAGGATACTATCTGTAGGAAACTTTTGGTGGGACACTTTTGGTGGGAAACTCTCTCTAGGAAACTGTAGGAAACTATCTGTAGTGAATTATCTATAGAAAACTATCTGTATAAAACTATCTGTACGAAAACTATCTTTAGGAAACTATATGTAGGAAACTATCTGTAGGAAACTATTTGTCGGAAACTATTGATGGTTCAAATTTATTCTCACAATTGGATTTTTATTTTTCAATCTGAAACTTAAAAAATGCAGGCGTGTATGTTGACAACATTATTGTACTCTCAAAAAACGTACATACTACATATCCTTTAAATATGTTTGGACATTCGGCAATGTGTAATGCAATATGAAATGAAAACAATGTTGATTATTGTTTTACATGAGTTTGCACTATATTTGTACAAAAATAAAAGATATTTAACCAGAAAAAGTTTGCCCGGTGTTTATTTGATTACGTTTGATATTTATGATTTACCATGCATACATAACATTTACATACTTATTACGCATGACGTAACTTACTTTATATACAACTTAACAGTTAATTTCAAAATATTTTTGCATGACACATTCAAATTTCATTCCCCTGCATAATTTTTATAAAAAAAATTTGAGGAAGTGTTTTGTTTCTCTTCTAAACAAATTCGTGTATATTGAATTAAATTATGAATAAAAATATAGTTTAGGTCTTGAAGACAAAGTTTGTCATGAATTTATTCAATAAATGGCTCTGTGTCAAAATGAGAAAGTTCCCCCAATCCAACTATAATTAACCTAAATAATTAAAAATTAATCATCAAATTTAAAATTTGTCTTACAATTAAGGTTTTTAACATTATCAACTTTACATTAGCAAATAATATGTAAGTCCATTTTGCCGTAATTAATCATATGAGGAATTGAATAAAAATTTTTTTTTTAAAGATTAACAAAGTTTATTTCTAGATAATATCGACAGATTCCCGAACAAGACAATGCCGCGTTGGAATTTTACAGATTTCATGCACAGCTTCATGATCGTCTTCCGTGTACTGTGTGGGGAGTGGATAGAGTCGATGTGGGACTGTATGTGGGTCGCATCTAAAGTCTGTGTTCCTTTCTTCCTCGCCACTGTTGTTATTGGAAACCTTGTGGTGAGTGTATAAATATTATAATTGGACTTGATCACATTTTTAAACTTCTTTTTCCAATCAATTTAGCAAGTTTGATTGCCTTTTGGTATTCATCTTAGAACAGCCGCCCC